TGGCTGGCCGCGTCCGCCTCCTTCTACGACCGCAGCGTCCACGTGTGGTCCGTGCCGCTCGCAGAGCCGGGCGCCCTGGAGGGCGACCCCACGTGAGCTCGGGCGGCTGCGCGTGCAGCCCTTTGCCGCAGTGGCCCTTCGCCGAGTCGAGGCCGATGCTTGCGGACGTTTCCGCCGTGCCTCGGCGGTTTTCCAAGCGCGGGACGCCTTGCAGCAGCTGCGCTTCGCCCAGAGCGTTCCGGGCTATCCGGATCATTCCGAACGGCTGCCCGAGGCCCGATGCGTGGCCTGTTGTATGGGCCAGGAGGAGAGTCTGGCCCAAGGGTATGGGGCCGCGGTGGTCTTCTTTATCTTCTTCTTATTCTTCTCCTTCTTCTTCCTTTCTACTCCCCGAACAGCGCTTGCACGTAGGGGTTCTTACTTCTCTGTTTATGGATCTGGGACTGCGGGTCGGTCTGGCGGCTATGTTGTCGCCGTCGCCGCCCAGTCGCCGACTCCTCACCGCCCGTCGTTTGGGCCTGTGTATCGGTCTGGCGGCTATGATGTCGCCGTCGCGGCCGTCCGCCGCCCAGCTTGTAGGCCTGGCTGCCGCCTGCACTTAGGGATTCTTGCTTCTTTGTCCAAGGCCTGGCTTTACCAGCCTGGAGCATATCCCTATCCTTATGTTGGGCATCTCCCCATCATTGAGGGCGAATCCCTGAGACTGTCATCGCCTTTTTGGCGTGTGAATCTTAGGGAGAGGGATACGTTCGAGGCTGGCAATGGCTGGCGGTCTGGCGGTTCCCTGGTCGCCGTCGCCGTCGCGTCGCCGCCCTGACGCCGCCTCGTCGCCGCCCGTCGCCGCTCGGCGCCGCTCGTCGCTGCTGGGCCCCGGTGGCGGTCCCGCCAGCTCGTCGCCGCCCCTTCTCGCCGTCGCCGCTGGGCCCCACTGGCGGTCTGGCCGGTTCGTCGCGGCCCGTCGCCGGGTTGCTGCTCATTGGTTTGCACTGCTTTGCGTTGCGTTGCGTTGCTTCGCAGTGCATCTCACTGCAATGCATCGCTCTGCATTTTTGCATTGCGTTGCGTTGCATTGCTTTGCATCTGCATTGCTTCGCGCTGCGTTGCATTGCTTTGCATTACTTTGCGCCACAATGGTTGCACCACGTGCGTTGCACCACCTGGATGGCAGTTGTACTATCTAAATTTGCGCCGCATAGTTTGCAAGAAATTGTTGCTTGGGGTCAACTCTGGCTAAGCTGATATTTTGTCGAGAAAAGGTACTAGCTCCGACCCGTGCCGGACTTCCTCTAGCTCATCGATGCCGAAGAGCTCTACGAGGTACTAGCTCCACCCCGCGCCGGAAAACCTTTAGCTCATCGTTGCCGAAGAGCTCTACGAGGTACTTTATTCGTGTAGTAGGGCTAGGGAGCCCGGAAGCATACCGTTCAATAAGAATGATCTGAGATATTCGCCTACTCGAGACGTCTGGAATTGGTCTGCTATCAGAGGTACAACTCAACAACTGTTTGCACCCTGCAAATTTGTGTCACAGGTGAGGATTGTTTTCTGTATTTCATTCGAGCTCTAGGCTTGCTACGGAGCTCAAATATACACCAACCGACTGGAAGTGCTGAGAAGCGCTAGTCAAAAAAAACATTAAGACGGCTGGCATGGTTCTGCTACCAGAGCTGCAACAGAAAAACGATTTGTGCTTTTCAGATTTTAGATAGGCAGTGTTGGTTTTCTCTACTTCTTTCGAGCTGTAGGCGAGCTGCGGGGCTGGGAAGCAGACTGGTCGAATGGAATTGATCGCGAGCACTGGTCTGCAGTATCGAGACGTCGGAGATCGGTCTGCTACCAGAGCTGCGACCGACAAACTATTGCGCGGACAATGTGATGACCTGGGGTCGGTTTTTTGAAGATTGTGAGAGATTTGGCCGTTCGTTTTGAGAACGAGTATTTTTCTCACGTGTAGTGGGTTATGTCGCGTCTGCCAATAACATTCTCAGGTCCGTAGCTGCAGTATTACTAGCAAAGACGTAGGGGAACCGCCCATATATAAACATCAGAAACATATTTTCCGGGTTTTCAAGCTCATGCTGGGAAAAGCTCTCTTCGTGTGTTCCGAGCAGGGCTATGCGTGGAAAGAGCTCTACGAAGGTCCCGGCGGCAAGCTGGTAGACGGCTTGCCGCCGGCTCCCAGTAGCTCGTGGTAGAGCTCTTCGGCATCGATGTGTTAGAGGAACTTCTCGACTACACGCAAGAGCGACCTCTCGCCGGAGCGACCTTTGGTGCGCGCCCACTGGGCCCCCCCGATCGCCGAGTGCGGAGCGATAGTAGCGTATTTCGGGGGAAAACAAACCTCCCTCGCTTTTTTTTTTTTTTTTTTTTTATTTTTTTTTTTTTTTTTTTTTTTTTTTTTTTTTTTTTTATTTTTTTTTTTTTTTTTTTTTTTTTTTTTTTATTTTTTTTCTTTTTTTTTTTTTGTTTTTTTTGTTTTTTTTTTTTTTTTTTTTTTTTTTTTGTTTTTTTTTTTTATCTTTTTTTTTTTTTTTTTTTTTTTCTCCCTTGTTTGTTCGTTTTTTTTTTTTTTTTTTATTTTTTTTGTTTTTTTTTTTTGTTTTTTTCATTTTTTTTTTTTTTTTTTTTTTTTTTTTTTTTTCCTTTTTTTTGACCACCCTCGCTTCCAAGAGATACCAAACGGTGCCAAATTGCGGCCTGTACAGGTCAGGCCGCTTGACGAGGAGGCGCGTGGTATGGCTTGGTTTTGCCTGGAAGCGAAAGCGGGGGAGGTAATTCACGCTCTGAGTATTGCGCGCTTTTGTTGGCCCCCCCCTGGCCCCCCAAAAAGCCACGCACCAAAGGTCACTCTTACCCACGGTCACTCTTACGTGTAGCCGAATTCCGGCGCGGGGTGGAGCTGGTCGGCCGACCCGGCCAGGGCGGACAGTGTGTCAAGTACCTCGTGGAGCTCTTCGGCATCGATGAGCCAGAGGCCTCGGCATCGCTCGGACGTGTGCATTTTTCCTTCGGCGAGGACCATTGAGGAGCATCCTTGGTCATTTTGTGAACAACCACGCACGAAACCGAAAACAAAAACACAGGGAATGGACGTCCGAGCGATGGCCAGAGGAATTCCGGCGCGGGATGGAGCTAGCTGGCCCACCCGGCCCGGGCGGACAATGTGGCAACCTGGGGTCGGTTTTTTGAAGATGTGAGAGATTTTCGGGGGCGGACAGAAACCCCAACAGTGACACGCCGATTAGTGAATTCTCCGCTTTCGGTTCTCGAGGGGGCGCCGCGGCCGTTATTTTCCAGGCTTGCGCCCGCCAGGTTTGGGCTTCAGGTCGTTTTCACTAAACCACGTTTTACTAAAGTGAGGTTTGTCCATCCCCGAGATACGACCATTCGTTCTGAGACCCAATATTTTTCTCACGTGGGTTATTTTGCGTCTGCCTATAACATTCTCAGGTCCGTAGCTGTAGTAACTCGTAGAGCTTCCCTGAGAGCAAAGCGGCGAAGCTTAAGAGTAATTCGGGCGCGCTGGCGGGCTAGCTGGCTCGAAAAATCTCGACGGAAATTTTGCATAATTTCGGTCGGTTGAACATTTTTTCCAAAATTCAGAAATTCGTAATAACTTTAATGTTTCCTCCATTTTCGATCTCAGCCCCGCTCGCCATCTTGATTTCAGGTCGATCGGGTGGATATTATTTTTATTACTATTAGAAAATACCCAGGCGGAATTGGCTGTTGAGTGTTATCTTGGCAGGTGCTATCGGTTTTCTTAAGTAGCACGATATGTAGATGAGCTACAGAGATGTTCGGCACAGCAACCGACAGGAAATCACCAGGAGCGCGAGTCCAAAAACATCTAGATGCTTGATGTTTGTCTGATGCCAAAGTTGGGACCAAAAAACTGTTCGTACCCCGCCAATGTTTTAAGACATGATGTTCGTTTTCTCTGATTTATTAGATCTGCGGGCTGGCTGCGGAGCTGGGACGCACAATTCCAAATGAGAAATCATCAGGTTCATTCGCCTACAGTTTCGAGACGTCTGAAATCGGCCTGTAACCAGAGCTCTGACCGACAAACCATTCGCATTGTAATTATGTTTCGAGAGATGACGTGCGTTTCCCCAATTCAATTCGATTTGTAGGCCAGCTGCAGAGCTGATGTGCGCACCGATCGACAGGAAGTGCTGCGAAACACCCGTCTAAAGTATCGAGACGCCTGGGATCGGCCTGCTCAGCGCAGCGACCAGATAATTATTATCACTTGTTTCATTCTTATGAGAAGCGGTGTTGGTTTTCTCTATTTAATTCGAGTCGTAGGCAAGCTAGGGAGCCAAACAGCACACTGTCCAACAGTAGATCGTTAGATGCAGTTGCCTACAGTATCGAGATGTCTGAGACTGGTCTGCTACTAGAGCTACAACTGAACAGCTACTTGCACTCTGCATTTTTTTGTGAGAGAATATGTTTGTTTTTGTGTTCCCAATCCGAGTTGTATGCTAGCAGCGGAGCTCATATATACACCGATCGACAGGGAATGCTGAGAAGCGCTACTCTTAAGCGGCTTAAAGCTATTTGCGTTCTTCAAGTTTCAAATATATAGTGTTGATTTTCTCTACTTACTTCGAGCTGTAGGCAAGCTACGGAGCTGGGAAGCAAATTGTTCGAGTGGATTTGATCACGAGCGCAAGTCTGCAGTATCGAGACGTCTGAAATCGGTCTTTGCGACCGACGAACTAATTATTTGTGCCGTTCAATCAGCTACCAAGCTCGCGTGATCTACGCGTGACGAGAGCTTTTTAGTATTCACATATCTTCTGATACATCTGTTCAGCTTATGTCGTGTAGTTTCTTGTGTGGGTGTTTGTTTCAACTGAACTCGAGCTGTGGACAAGCAAGAAGCTGTCAAGCACATTTCCGTGAAATCGCGCACCCTCGCGCGCTGAATGCAAGAATGCCGCGCTCGCATGCCATTATATATATGTATTTATATATGTACATATGTGGCAAGGAAGCTCTACGAGTTCCCGGCGGTAACCAAGGTTGACGGTTTACCGCCGGCTCCAGTATTATTTTCAGAAGGCGTGGAGGAGCCGACTTCGGAT